CTGGGAGTTGAAGTCCACACATCTTAAAGTTGTGAAGGTTGAGAAACACTGGGTTGGGCTGTTCTCAGTCCTTGAATGGCTCATTTTCCTGACATGCTAGTGTTCTGCATGCAGGGAATCCCTCTCTGTACACAGCTACTGGCAACTTGAAGCCCAACTGTTTTACGGGCCTACTGGGCACAAAAGCCCCTCAAATCCAATCCTGCCTACTGTGTCAATTTCAGTGAAATTGACAGGATTTACTCATGAGTAGACCTGGCAGGAAAAGCGCAGAGGCAGTCTAAGAGAAGCCACCGTTCTGCAGCCTTTGCAGAATAGAGATCCTTAAATCAGATGCCTCCCTTTTAGGATTTGGCAAAGCGTTTAGAAAACAACAGGATTTCACCCCTCCGGGGTTAAAATGCAAAAGACAGCACAAGACAGGATGGCCTGACCCATTTGCGCCACTTTTAATTTTTTAAAAAGTTTCTTAAATTTTTCAAAAAGAATAAACTTTTCAAAAAAATGTAACTTTAAAAATTTTAAAGTTTACTTTTTAAAAAAAGTTTAAACTTTAAAAAAAAGTTTTTAAAAATTAAAAAAAAATTTAACTTAACTTTTAACCCTTTTGTCTACATTTCCCAACAGGAGAATGACCCATCCCGAATTCCAACCAGCGCAGAAGAGACCCTCCTCTCTCACCTCCTGGTGTTTGCAGCTGAGAAAGCTAGAAGAGAAAACCAGGTGGTGGTTGTAGAAACTGGAAGAGAAAACTCGTGTGTGCGGCCAGCCCTGTTCCAGCCAGAGAATGGACTGCAGTGACGACAAATGACCCCAAAAACGCGTTGGTTAACTGCAACCCTTCTGAAACGGCTTTCTATGGGACGCCAGACTACAGCACCTATCATCCACTCCAGCAAGCATGTCCCCCAAGATGATGGCTGCTATCGTCTGAAGGAGTAGGATGGGGAGCAAATATCAGGCGAAGGGCGTTCCCTGTTTCTACGATGCTCGATTACCTCCCCCCGTAGGAAAATGTGCTTTTGCTGAAAAATCATGCAATGGGGCCACCTCTGTGCGCCTTCTAAGAAAAACTCTGCGGGAAACTAAATTGTGGGATATCCGTGGGCTGGCTAGAATTTCCAAAGCGAGCCCTCCCGGACGATTTACCGGCTGCCTTTGCACCGCACTGACCCCAAGCCTCGCGTGGTTCGTTTAATTTTGGCTTTAATCGCGCGAACGGCCGCCCTGGCTTGGAACCCACAGCATTTGGTCTGTGTTCTGTCCAGTGTGCACCGCACGGGGACGGGCGCCAGCCTTTCCTTAAACCGCACGATTCTTCCGTGCAAGGTTTTGCGTTTGGCGGTTACGACGCCGCGCAGTAAAAATCAGCGCTGTCCGGATTCGAAGGGGACAAATTATTTTGCTTCTCCGTCTGCGCGTGGGGTTTTCTCACCCCACTCTCACCCCCGCTGTCAGTTTTGCTGCTGTTCTTCCTGGCCGGCCGCGTCTGCTGCTGCTGCTGCTGCTTCTTCAGCCGCCCCCTCCGCCTCCTGAGCTTTTTTCTTCCTTCTCCGTTCCGCGTTTGTGATGGTCATCGGATGCAGGGGGAAGAAGCCAGAAAGACCTGCCAAAAAAAATAATAATGTCAATGCATTCCTCCCGTGCCTTTAGCTCCGCTGGCAAATAAAACAGGAAAAATCAAGAACATGTCACAACCACTTTGTGTCTTTTTTGCAAAGCAGAAAACTCCCTTGCTGACATTGGCAAGGGGGAGGGATTCCTCTCACCCCTCTGGGTGCTCTGTGTCTTCCTCGATCTCGGGTCCTCTCCCCGAGGCCTGAGCGCTGGAGGGTCCTGTGCAGGATCCGAGCTGCTCCTAGCCCTGCGCTCTCTCGATAATAAAATTCTGGCAATGCTTGTGGAAAAGTAGCAGCTAAGGTTTGCATAGGGTCGTCTTGACCCTCCCACCCTTATTTTCTAAATGCAGGGAGCAAGAATTGCAGCATTTGAAGAGACGCAACCCCAGCTTACCTTAAATTTGTAAAAAAATAAAAATAAAGGCACCTAGTTCACATTTTCATACCTGCTTCTGTTTTAATGCTGGGGGATTCTGGGAATTGTAGTTCGCACGTCTCAAAGTGGCTGAGGTCGAGAAACACTGGACTAAGGGGAGACGTGATTTCAGTGCACAGGTGCATAAATGAAAGCCACAGGGAAGGCGAGCAAAACGCTTTTCCATCGTCACAGAAACGAGGACCAAAACTAGATTTTTTAAAAAACATGTTTCCTAACGTTCAGATCTGCCCAAGAGCAGAACAGTCTACCTGTTCTCGGGCTGCGGCTTCTCCATCTCTGGAGGGTTTTAAGAAGCAGCTGGACAGCTCCAAATGTTACGTTTCTCACTAATGCCCCAATTTGTACATTGCTTGCAGGACAGATCGTCCATGCAGCCTTAATTTGGGCAGGATTCCCGTCTTTGGGATAGATCCTCAGGGTCTGATCCACGTTTCTTCATTTTTTTTCCTTCTGGGAGACGCCCAAGCGCTGGCATCTGATAACGCAAGATTCATGTTCTCTGAAACCCAAATATTCTACATCTGGCTTTGGGGGTGATTATTCTTGGACGCAACTCCTGGGAAGACCACAGCCACGTTCCACTGTCTCCGTGGATCGCGGGACGCTCAATCGTTGGCTGCAGTTTCTTCACCAAAATCTCTTTATTTATTACTAAAACTTAAAGGAAGCTCTGATTGCACGCAGGTCACCCCGTGGCAGAATTACAGGGAGGTTTAAACAGTTTACGGGGATGCAAGAACTCTCACCAACTTTCTTGTACCCCTGTAAATGTGCATTTCCGCTAAGGAAATACGGGAAGTTGCTTTGACAGGCAAACTGGGTCTGTATCCTCTAAAAAAAAATCATAATTTGACTTTCCAAAAGCTCGCTGCAAAACGCAGCCCGTCATCTGAACCCAAGGGGATAATTACCCAACAGTTTTTCGACGGGCTTGGTCGGGGCGGCGCCGCAGGCAAACCAGTATTTGAACCGGTCGAAGTTGATGCCCACGATCTTCTCGGCGCAGCGGTTGGGCATCGGGTCGTAGCAGCCGATCTGCTCGATATACTTGCCGTCCCGGGCCCGCCTGTTGTGGGCGACCACGATCCGGTAGAAGGGGCGATTGGCACAGCCGCCGAGGGCGAACCGGATGACAACACGGAGATTGCGGTAGGTCTTCAGGAGGGGGCGTCCTGGGGGGGCAAATTGGGGGCAGACATCATCATTCGGCAGCCTCGATCGGACTCTGATCTCTCCCTCTCCCCCACCGCTGCTGCCTTTGGACTACAATGCCTATGATGCCCTGCCACCGGAGGGGCGGGGAGGCAACCCAGGATTCAAACGTGGTTTTCCAAGGGGGACGTTTGGAATTTCCCGCAAGCGTCTTAAGAGGGCTGAAAAGGTGGAGAGAGCCGGGTTCACACGACGTTTGTGTGCTGCATTGGTTTGACGCAACGACAAAGAGCGGCCCCCCAGAGGCAAATTAGCAAAGCGAATCCACGGCAGGAGGGTTTGGGGCACGGACTGCACTCAGATGAACAGGCAGCTTTGAGGGGTCAAAGCTTTAAGCTTCAAGATCTTTAAGGGGTCGGTGGGTTCTGACTATCTGAATTGGATTTTTTAAAACAAGCAAAGAGGGTCTTCGGGTCTTTTTTTCGAAGGCTCCTTTGTTTCTCTCTAGGTCCGTTTCTCGCCTCCCGAGGGCGCAGCTTTGCTGAACTACCATTCCTGCCTGTGGCTAATGCTGGCCGAGGGTCCCCAGCTCTGTAGGAAGAGGATGGTGGGCAGACTGGCCTACCTCACAAGGCTGTTGTAGGGGAGCACAGAAATAATATTGCCGGGTGTTTGCTGGCGCAGGAAATTACACCAGCTTCCTTTTTTTGGGGTGGGGGGGAGGCATGGGGGTATAAAAAGCCACTTACCCAGTTGAACCATGATGTCTTCTTCCTGCAGAGAAAGGGAATGGGGAGAAAATCTCTGAGTGGTGTGTTGAAACAGGGCGACCGAATCCGGATGGCGCCAGGAGGGACGGAGGGGCAAAGGCTGCCCGCTCTTTGTCTGGGGCGCGACCAGCCCCAAAGCGGCACCTTGTTTTAAACCCAGCCGGAAGCCTCGGCAGCCGCAATCCCAGCTTGGACGGATCCTAAACCACGCTGGTGGCTTAATGCGATCTGAGAACCGGACTACCGAAGCTGGGCTCGACAAGCCAAGATTGAAACAAGCCGTGGCTTGGCAGGCGGTGGGGAGCCAGCCCCAGCACAACGACGAGGGCCCCCCCCTGCGGGGAGGGGGGACGACG